GCTATTCAACCTTTTCATATCTGCTTCTATTTCCTGGCATAATGTGTTCTTTGGCCTTCCTCTTTTCCGCTTCCCTTTCACATTCCAAGTTAACGCTTGCCTTGTAATGCACATTGGTGATTTTCTTAATGTATGCCCTATCCAAACTCCAACGTCTTTTCCTAATTTCTTCTTCAGTTGGAAGCTGGTTTGTCCTCTCCCATAAAACGCTGTTGCTGATAGTATCCGGCCAATGAATGTTGAGTATTTTGCGTAGACAACCGTTTATAAATACTTGTACCTTCCTGATGATGGTCGTAGTAGTTCTCCTTGGTTTCAGCTCCATACAGTAGGACTGTCTTGATGTTCGTATTAAAGATTCTGACCTTGAAATTGGTTGAGAGTTGTTTTGAGTTCCATATGTTCTTCAATTGTAGAAATGCTGCCCTTGCTTTGCCAATCCTCGCCTTTACATCTGCATCCGATCCTCCTTGTTTATCAGTGATGCTTCCCAGGTACATGAATGTTTCTACCTCTTCCAGAGTTTCGCCGTCAAGTGTGATTGGGTTGGTGTTCTCCGTGTTGCATTTGGGAATCTTGATTTTTCCTTTGTGAATGTGGAGGCCTATCGATGCGGAGGCTGCTGCTACATTTGCTGTCTTCATCTGCATTTGGTCGTGTGTATGAGAGAGGAGGGCTAGGTCATCTGCGAAGTCCAAATCATCTAATTGATTCTGAGAAGTCCATTGTATTCCGTATTTCCTGTCAGATGTCGAATTCTTCGTAATCCAGTCAATCACTAGAAGGAAGAGGAATGGGGAGAGTAGACAGCCTTGTCTGACTCCGGTCCTTACTGGAAATGCATCTGTCAGCTGTCCTCCATGCACCACTTTGCACTGTAGTCCATCGTATGAGTTTTGGATAATGTTGACAATCTTCTCAGGTACCCCGTAGTGTCGAAGAAGTTTCCATAATGTTCTCCTGTCCACGCTGTCAAACGCCTTCTCATAGTCAATGAAGTAGACGTATAGTCATGAGTTCCACTCAACTGATTGTTCAACGATGATCCGTAGTGTCGCAATCTGGTCTGTGCACAACCTATCCTTACGGAATCCAGCCTGATGATCCCTTAGTTCGGCGTCTACTGCGTCTTTCATCCGATTCAGCAGCACTCTGTTGAAAACTTTTCCTGGTACTGATAACAAACTGATACCTCTGTAGTTCTCACATAGGCTCAGATCTCCTTTCTTTGGTATCTTGATGAGATATCCTTCTTTCCAGTCCGTTGGCACTTGTTCCTCTTCCCAAATCTTTTTGAATGGAAGGTGAAGCATGTTTGCAGTTATTTCAATGTCTGACTTCAGTGCTTCTGCTGGTATATTGTCAGGTCCTGCCGCCTTCCCACTTTTGATTTGTCTGATGGCCATCTTGACTTCTTCGATCGTTGGTGGAGTGACATCTATTGGAAGGTCTGTGTGGGCTGCTTCGATGTTCGGTGGGTTCAATGGGGCTGATCTATTCAGCAGTTCCTCGAAGTATTCTGCCCATCTTTTCCTCTGTTCTTGAATCTCAGTGATTGTCTTTCCTTCTTTGTCCTTGACTGGTCTCTCTGGTTTGCTATATCTTCCTGCCAATTTCTTCGTTGTATCATATAGTTATCTCATATTCCCTTCTCTTGCAGCTTTTCCGCCGTCGTTGCTAGTTCTCCCATGTATTTCTGCTTGTCGGCTTTAATGCTTTTCTTCACTTCCCTGTTTGCTTCTGCGTAGTCTGCTTGTGCTTTTACTTTCTCTGCTCGTGATCGGCTGTTGTTAATTGCTAGTTTCTTGTTCTTCCTTCCTTGAATTTTGTCCAGGGTTCCCATAGAGATCCATTCCTTGTGATGATGCTTCTTAGGACCAAGAACCTCCTGGCACGTTGAAGTTAGTGCTTCTTTTATCCCTTTCCAGTTGTCCTCCAAAGTAGTTTCTTGTTCATTCAGTAGATCCTGTAGAGCTTGGAACCTGTTGTTGAGAGTTATCTTGAATTCATGGAGCTTGTCAGTATTTCGAAGGAAGGCTGTATTGAATCTTTGTATTGCTGTTTGTCCAGTTGTCCAGTGTTTCTTTAGCTTCAGTCTCATCTTGGCCACAACCAGGTGGTGATCTGAAGCTATGTCAGCTCCTCTCCGGGTTCTCACATCTTCCATTGATCTTCGGAATTTTTTGTTGATACAAATGTGATCTATCTGGTTCTCTGTGGTTTGGTCCGGTGAGATCCATGTTGCTTTGTGTATGCGCTTGTGTGGGAATATTGTGCCACCTATAACCAATTTGCTAAATGCACATAGGTTTGCAAGTCTCTCCCCATTTTCATTTCTCTCTCCTAATCCATGTCGTCTAATTACATCTTCATATCCTGTGTTGTCCACTCCAACTTTAGCATTTAGATCTCCCCATCAGGATGGTGAGGTCCTTTCGTGAGCACTTCTCTATAATTGATTGCAGCCTTTCATAGAACTTATCTTTATCATCGTCGTTGCTATCATTGGTGGGTGCATAACATTGGGTAACGTTCATTGTGATCCCTTGCTTCTTTGTTCTGAATGATGCTTTGATTATCCTGGGTCCATGAGATTCCCATCCCACAAGTGCATTTCGTGCTTCTTTGGACAGAATTAGAGCAACTCCCTGAGTGTGTGGAGCATTTTGCCCTTCGTGACCGGAGTACAGCAGCATCTCTCCTGTACCTAGCCTTTGTTGTCCAGTTTGTGTCCAATGGGTTTCACTGATTCCGAGTACTGCCAAGTTGTATCTCCTCATTTCCATTGCTATTTGGCTGGTCTTTCCTGTCTCTCACATTGTCCGGACGCTCCATGTACCTATAAAGAGTGTTGCTTTGGTTGTTAGAAGGTGCATCGGTCTCGTGACTTCCGAAGAATTTCGGCTTTCATCATGAGACATCATTATTCCTTCAACTTGGAGGGCAGAGTTTAAATGGTTTGAAGTATTTTTTTCTGGTTAGCGTTTTTTTTAGCGAGTTAGCTTTTCTACGGGATGAGGTCGCTAACCCCATGCCCAACCCTCCTCCTTTGTATGGGTTTGGGACCGGCAGTAACTCTAGAAGAGCTACAGGCGGAGTTTTATGTGTTATAAGCAAGTGATAAATTTTCTAGGAATACTAATATTAACAACTGATGAATACGATATTCCATTGCTGTTGGCTAGACGAAACATTGATCAAATATTGTTTCAGTCAATGCATTGGGGCTCGCTGACTGATCTATTTTCAACCAATCAGGGTTAGTGGATCAGCTGCTTAGATTAGAATATTCCTGTGTAAAACTTATTCGTACACTGACATTTTGATCGATAATCTAATTTATGGACAACATTTGAATAATAATAAAGTGCCTTTAAGGAACTTGAACCACTTACTAGGGTTGAAATAGGGTTATAAATCAGTGTAAAGAATTAGGACTAGGGTTGGGATTTAGAACTAAAAGTTCGGGTTAAGAAATAGAATTAGGGTTTTTGTCACGAACGGACCTCAGCTATGATGCATTTATGGTATTCAGCTGTATGGATTAATTAATTTAGCGTCAAAATTCAAAATCGCTTTCTTAAATCTGATTGATTGGTCCACATTTCGTTCCTTATTAAACCTGCTGTTTTGTTTAAAATATATTTACATCCTATCCAAGTTGCTTTTTGATTTGTAAACCAATCAAGTGAGTGAAGTGGTCAAGAATACTAAGCACAATAAGGAGATTTAACTATTGTTTTTCTTATTTGTCATTGGTCCGTTTGAATTTGAGTTGAATTTATTTATCTTGATACCTTAGTTAGAATTACTGTTACTATATACTTGCTTTATCACTTTGATTGCATCAACTAATCAGTATGTCATTATATGACTTTTGCGAACTGCAGTCTGCTTAAACTCTCTCAAAAGGATTTGATCCGTTTATTGGTGTGGTACTACAGATCGAGAGATCAGTGATTAGATGTTAAAACATTTCCTGTTAGTTTTATAATACGCATTTTAGACTTTGGAATGTTTTTTGAATTATATTCAAAGTGATATTCGGTTTTCTAAATATAAATTAGGTTTGAGTTCAATGAGCGTTATTACTAGAGATTCATTTTGTTGATCAGCATCGTTGAGAATACAGTCCTACTGAAACATAATCTTTTATCGATTGATTGGTTTTGCCCCCAAATGCCCTGGTACGGCTGACAGTGGGCAGAGTCCGCTCTCCCCCTCGAAATGCTCTCATATGGCCACTCGTATATAGCCTCTGCCAGGGAAGTTCTACTCACTGTCTTCTCGTGGCGGGGGTATTATTTACGAAATTGAGAGGATGAAAAACGAATGTCCGACGCTTTAACCGGATTGGTAGAAACGGAAAGTCCACTTAGGAGAGTTGGAAAACCCTGATTTCGAACCAATGGTGCACATGGACTCCAGTATACTATGGTAACAAATGGCGTATGAATCAATCGTTAATCACCGGCTACCATGGGACTGCATCTCCTCACGATGCTCCACTGCCTTGTGAATCAGATCTTTAGGTCAAAGGCTCGGGGTGTGGTCCCCTAAGAAAACCACCTGCTTCAGTGTGGGCACCTGGGCAGTATCTCAGCCCTCACACAAATCAAATGAGATTTGTGTAGCGCATATATATTTGGTGCCTCTTTGTACCAATATTTATGTATTTAAATATAATAATAAAACATTTCCTGTTAGTTTTATAATACGTATTTTAGACTTTGGATTGTTTTCTGAATTATATTGAAATTGATATTCGCGTTTTTAAATATAAATTAGGTTTGAGTTCAATGAGTGTTATTACTAGGGATTTATTTTGTTGATCAGTACCGTTGAAAATACAGTTCGACTGAAACATAATCTTTTATTGATCGGTTTTAAGGCTTCTAATCATTTTATACTTAGTTTTATTGATATGTTTTGTTTCTACCATATAATGTTGTTTTCTACAATTCTATCTAATACTTTCTACATTATATTGTATATTACAGTCAGATTTAAGTTGGGTATCAACAAAGACATCATTTATGACAATTTCTGATCCCAGTGATTCATCTACACCAAATGCAAATTCTTCATTAGATGAAACGTTTGCTTCGAATAAGTTTTCACCCAACTCTTTCAGAAATTCGTCCCCAAAATCTGACGAATTAGAAGACAATGACTATGATAATAGTGATAAAGACAAAGAAGAACAAGTAAAACACAAGAAGAAAACAGGAATAACTTTGGTTTATGCTCCAGAGAAATCAGTTAATATTTTCAAATCTTCAGAAAATTCTATTGTTCCACCTCAACTAAATGAAAAAGTGATCATAATCCGATCAGATCAGGGCAACGATAATAATTATACTGAAAATGATACATTACCTAAAAAAAATGGAATTGGATCAACAACTGCTTCTTCAATGAATGAAATTTTGTATTCCAGTAAAGAAAATCTTTCTAAATTAAATGATGAACATGAATTAATAAAACAGTTGAATAATTTCAACAATGTCTTGTACAACAACTCATTTGAGGAATTTTCATCGAATAATGGAATATCGGATGGTAAGGATCTATCTGATAATGATGATAATAGTAATAATAATAATCTATCAGATAATGATAGTAAGTACAATAATTCCAGTAGTATTCTATCAACGCAACAAGTACTCACTTCATTGAATAATCATAATGATTCATCGGTCTTATCTATGGGATCAAAGACTTTATCCAAAGAGATTCTAAATGATGACGACAATAATAATGATAATAATCAATCTTATGCTAACAATACAATTAGTGTTAATGAAGACAATGATATCACTGATGCAGTTCTACAGAATCATGAAGAAATTACAAAAAATACTTCGTCTATTGATCAAACTGAAGAATATACTTCAACATTAAAACCAGTTTTATCTTCACCATCTAATCATTCAATTGATTCAGATCAAGAATACAAACTACTAACCGATCATTCTTCTATAAAGTCGAATTTAAATAATATAGCACAAATGAATTCTGAATCAGATGATGAAGTTACTAAAACAGTTCTAAATATTAGCGATCAATATAAGAAGACGGTAAATAAGTTTGTTGAGCAATCAATGCCGACTTATTTGGATCGTTGTTCACCAGCTCAAATTGTAGCTGTAACCGGTGGAGCACCACCAGATATAATACGTAATATTGAAGAAGATTTAGACGAAGTTAATGATGATAATGTTATTGAAGTACTTAATACAGATGCAGAACATAAAACCAATCCCTCTGCTTCTTCATCTACGAATCCTAGTAATATTGTCCGACAACGTGGTCATAATTCAGAGTCATTAAAGTCTCAAAAGCCGGTAACTATCAATATTGATTTACGAGTGAGTCAATAATTATTAAGGATTCATAATACGGTAGCATTTTGTTTTCAGTCTTGAGTGCTGTTAGAGGTATGAGGACAGTTATCACTTCCCGGTTGCCCACACCGTGAAAGGATTCTTATAGACGTACCTGAAAAGGAAATTGGATTAGAAGTGGTCTTAATGATCTGAGAGCGTGACCGCAGTGCCCAAGGGACAACTGCTTGAGGTCGGTCACACACGATCTTTTTGTGTTAGCTCTGTTCTTTAAAGGACCTTACCACCGGAGACAGAAATCCGTGGGATAAGGCGAGGTGTGCATTTTTAGGGTCGACCTTTTCTAACCCCACCCCTCCTTATGGGAAGGCAGCATCGCTGTTATGTTGGTTGTCGGAAGGAAACACCTTACTGCTGTTACACCTTTGTACAGTCAGCAGTACGATTTCACCTTCGTACCTTGGGTTTGCTGCTTTTAGTCTTACCGCTCCTCAATCGACCTGTCTGGCATGGTAGGACCTTGAGGAACGATTGTTCCAGCCAGTATAGCTCGATTGCTTCATCATGATAGGCAAGCCTGACCACCACGTTAAGGTAGCATCAACGGTCAGGGCATTTTGTTTTACGTAAATGTTTATCTGAAAACAAGTTATTAACTTCTCATTAAAATTCTAGTGAGATATATTTTCGCCTTAAACAATCACACTAGCTTAGAATTTATTACAAATTTCAATTGATGTCTAGGTTAGTTTTTATAATCAGGTTAATATCTGCTGAATAATTATTGAAGATTTGTAGGTTATAGGTAGCTATATGGTTCTTTTCAAAAGAAAATCAAATCTTTCCTGAGACAGTAGTTCTCAGTTCTAATAATGACCAACATTCAGAACTGCAACCAAAAGGAATATGCAGCATAATCCTTCCTGTACTTACATCGAGGTTTTTCGATCAAACCCATAGTCTGAAGTATTAACCTATTTAAATTAAGCTTGGTAATTAAATATCATTAACTAAATATTTCATTTGTTTCGAATTTTATTAAATTCAAGGCTTTCAGACGGTAGTTACAGTTGCAACTCCCAACCATCACATTATATGTTATGAACCCGGCTTCATCTTCGGTTTCGTTAGCTGGCTAATATCACAAAATATGGCTTAGATTCGGGTACATGAGGTCTATTTTTTAAATTAATATCAATAAATCCGAGCCAAACCTTATTTCTCAGTTAGGGTTAGGAATCATTCCGGCTACTCAAACCGATGTATATACAATGGATTTTAAACTTACAGTTAATTGATTGGTACTTCAACTACCAAATTACCATTGTAAATATATAAATACCCATGAATCTAAGTTCAGTGAAAAGTATTAATCAACAAGTCCACGCGTTTCTTTATAGCCATTGAATCAGTTTTTCAATTTGAAATCTATTGGTCAATTGAATTTTTTAAAGTTTATTGTACACGAATGGTAAAGATTCATAAACAGAGATGTATGGTGGCTAGCAGTGGAATTCAGGACGGTCATTTCATTCTATTTGGGACTCATCAACCGGATATACTTGCATTCCAGAGTTCATTTTCACTCCAGGACTGGAACACAATACCGTTCTCTCCAAATACCATCACTTTGTTCACTTATCTACCGAGTCCTGATAGTCACTGTTTTGATTTTAATCAGAGATCTCTACTTAAAATGATTATGATTTATTGGCATTATCGAGGTAATCTGCACAGGATGCATATATGCGAAAAGAAACTGATCAACTACAGTCTTAAATATCAATGGGAAGATTCAAAAAACCAACACAAATGAGCTGAAATTTAAAGTTGCTTTGATTTTTTCTTTGATGAATAAATTAAAGACGTCAAACTTTTAATAAATAACTTCATCTAACGGTTGCAATTTATAAGGATTGAAGAGATAAACTTTCTTACTATTATTGTTTCATTCCTTGTATTTAATCCAAAGGTTGTTTCAAAGCTAACTCCAAGTACTCCAGAAGAAGTAGATGCTTCATCAGAACTAGTTTTTAGCAATTTTATGATAGATCGTTATAGGTTAGAAGTTTCTGCATCAGCTCAAGCATCTTCGTCTCAGTCTACTGCTTCTTCTTCAGCTTCAATTCATGTAACAGCTATAGGTCAAGAAGCTGAATCTGAAGATCCTGTAAGCCATCAACTTTCATCTTTACCTCGTGCTGAACCACACAGGTAGGTTGGTTATCTATGTGTATAATTTAAACCATTCATTTATCTTAAATGAAAAATCGAACCAATGTTCTATCCTAGATGCGTAATTTTTACTTTGTTGTCTTTCAAAAATACCAAATGAATGAGACTTGGTGAAGAGAAAATATGCACAAGATATGAAGAGGACTAGTTAAGTATATGATAAAAACTGGATACATGTAAACTCACCATATTTGTTTTTTGTCTCAGATAACCATCTATCTGATCTGACACACTGTGCTATGCAGTAACTGTGGTCGAGTAAAAAAATATATTCTGTTCATAATGTTGCCAACAAACTCACTATTACTCAAAAATTTAACCCGAATAAGTTAGAATTGGATTTATTCATACTGTCGAATACTTTCTCATAATCAAGGGAGTTGTTGTATGGCGATGGGTTCCATTTAGCTGATTGTTCCACAACCATCCGTAGTGTCACGATTTGGTTACTGCATAACCAGTCCTAGTAAAATCCACCTTGTTGATCTGGAAGTTGGGAATGTTTCATTCGGTTGAGGAACACTGTTAAAAGCCTTGGCCAATACTGACAGTAGTGTGATCCCTCAGTAGTTCTCACCCTTACTAAGATCTCTTTTCTTCAGTATCTTAGTGAGGCATTACTTTTTGTACTCTGTTGGTACTTTTTCTTACCCCGAAATCCTTCTGAAGAGAACATGAAATAACTTTGCAGTTACCTATATATTTGAATTCAGTTATTCAGCTGATTTCCTGTCTTGTCCTACTGCTTTGCTATTCCTGATTTTTCAAATGGCCTTTCTGATTTATTTTGTTCATGAGCTATCTGTAGGGAGGTCAGTGTGTGCTGCTTCGATTTCCGATAGATTCAGTGGGTCTGGTCTACTCTAGAGCTCTTGCAAGTGGTCTACCCACCTATATTCCGCTGTTCTTGAATCTCATTGATTGGCCTATCTTTTTTGTCCATGACTGGTCGCTTTGTTGTACTATACTTCACTGCTAGCTTGGTTGTACCATAAAGTTTTCTCATACTTTCTTCGCTTGTAGCTTTTTTTTGCTGTAGTTGTCAGGTCTTCCATTTATTTCCTCTAATGTTCTTCACTCGTTTGTTTGATTCTATCTATTCAGCCTACCTGCTTCAGTCTGGGCACCTGAGCAGTATCACAGCCCTCACACAAATCGAATGAGATTTGTGCGGCGCATATTTATCTGGTGCTTCCTTGTACTAATATTTATGTGTTTAAATAAATAAAAATAAATAAAATCTATTCTGCCCGTTCGTCGGTTTTCTCCGCTCTTATTTGGCTGTTGTTAACTAGTCTTGTTTTTTTCTTGAATTTTCCCGCTTTTTATGCTGATACTTTTTGCGGCCCATCGCCTGGTGTGTTAAATTTATTGGTTCTTTAATCTTTTTCTAGTTATTCTGCGTATCGACTTCCTCTTCGTGTAGTGGATCTTGTAAGGCTCAGAACTTGTTGAGAATAATCTTTGAATGAATTTGTTAACACCTCGAAGTAGAGGTTGTATTAAACTTTTTTAGTGCTGCTTGTCCAGTTGTCCAATGTTTGTTTAGCTTCATTTGTAGCTTGGTTCCCACCAGATGGTGATCGCAAGCTATAACAGCTTCTTTCTTACATCTATCATGGACTTTTCGAACTTTTTATTGATGGTGATATGATCGATCCAGTTCTTTGTATTTGTGGTCTGGTGAAATTCATGTAGTTTTTTAGATGTTTGTGAACAGAAATAGTGCACCTGGTGACTATGTTGTTGCAAACATACAGATCCGCCTCTCTCTTTCTGTTCTAATCCATCTCTCCCTGTTGATGTCACTCCTTAATGGATCCATACCTTCTGTTGTCCATCCCTGGCCTTGGTGTTAGGCACCCCATCAGAATGGTCAGTCTTTTCCTGCTGGACTGCAGATTCTCATAAAACTGATCCTTATCACTTTCGTTGCTATGATGATTGTGAATGCGTAGCATTCCGCGACATCCTTTGTTATCCTTCATTTTTTTGTTTTGTATAATGGTTCGCTGACCCTGGATCCATGAGATCCCCATCCTATAAGCTCTTTTTGCGCTTCTTTTGAAAGCATCAGTACAACTCTCTGTGTGCTGGACATTATCCAATATTTGACTTCCGAATCTTTATTGTTATATCATAATAAGGTTTATCAACACTTAGTGTTATGCGAGACACTATTTATTTTCATGCATTTTTCACTTATCTTTAGTTGTTGACTATTTTAAGTATGTATTAAATTTTTCCTTCTGCTCAGTGTCGAAGCAATAGTTGCTCGTAATCTAGCCGAAATCGGTGATGAAATCAATCGTATGTATGGACCGAGATTAGATAGAATGATTAAATTACTACCAGTTGAGGAATGTCCGTTAGAAATGTTTTATAATGTCGCCCGTGTGTAAGTTAAATAAATGGTCACTTGTTGATAATTTTTAATTACTGTAATCATTATTTTTGGTTATTATTATCATTATTAATATCGTGAACCGACCAATATTAGACCAACATTGAAAACCTGGAAGCTCTGGATCGGTTTTTTATGAGTTTATTTATTTGAACCAATAAACATTGGTACAAGGGGGCACCGATTACATATGCACCACGCAACAACAATGAGGCCTGTAACAGTTATCATTAATTTATGTGAGGGTTATGATACTGTTCGGGTACCCAGACCAAAGCAGGTGGTTTTCTTAGGGGACCATACCCGAAGCCTTTGACTTGAAAGTCTGATCCACAAGGGGGTGAAGCAACTTTAGGAGATGCAGTCCCATGGTAGCCGGTGCCCAACAATAGGTTCATACGCCATTTTTTACCTTAGTATACTGGAGTCCATGTGCACCATTGGTTTGGAATGAGGGTTTTCTAACTCCCCTAGGTGAATCCTTCATGTCTGAATATGGGACTCCTCAACAGTGCACCTCCACGATCTTTCACTTGCAGCTCGAACCAGGACCTTCGACCTTCGCTTAGCCTCAAAACCTTTAAGCTGGAATCCAGCGGTGTTAATGTCCAAGTTAATATAATGAATTATTTTCTTACAATTAATAACAGTACAAAATGTATGTAATAGATTTATTGTACATCCAGAGGTGGATGTAGTGTGACTGTACCTGAACCCTTTAAGGGGTGGTATTGAACTATTACACATATTGATTACATTAATCCCTCAAAACTTATCCATGATGTTCATGTGACAGTGGGAAACTTCTTGGGTTGGTATTATGTCACACTGTGCTTGTTTTCACCCTAATCCTTTTTTCATTATACATAAAATTTTAGGAGAGTCGGTGGTTAAGTAATGGGCTGTATGCATTCCAACCACTTGACTGTACGGAGTTTGATTCGTCTTGTTTTTTTCCTTTTTCGTGTAACATCACATACGTAGTAATTATAATATACTTGGACAGTACTCTGTAACGCACATAGCTGTAATATACTTTTTACCAATTCTATGACTGTTTTTCAAAGTCACAACAACAGCGAGTAGTTGAATGGAACAATAAAATAGTTTATATTATAATAATCTTATTTTCGAATTATATTTAAATGTTATTGAGTAGCTAACCTCTTATTATCTATCGTTCTCCCACATAATATTACAATACTAGGTTATTTGCTCGTGGTCCAACTAACTGGGGTCAAGTAATCACTTTGTTCTATTTTGGTTATCGGTTAGTAGTGCAACGAGTTAAAAAAGGTGTTGCCAATGCATTTTATCAAGTTTGTCGATGTCTAGTCAGTTTTTGTCGACAAATCAATATTTTCGTGTGGATAGCTCAACAAGGAGGATGGGTAAGTATAAAGTTTTTGATAATTTTAGGAATTCATTTTTATGATTTACCTTCAATAGTTTGTTATATTTCTTTTTATTGATAAGTTTCTTATAAAATGTCAGGTTTTAACTTTAAATATGATATCCTATCCCTAGAGTTCTGAGGGTGTTGTACTCTCAACTGACCGTAGAAGGGTATGACATCAGTAAGGTTTTTCTGTCAAATAACTAGCACATACAGCGTTACTGTTTTCTCATAACAAAAGGAGGGGCTTAGAGAAAGCTGAACATAAAATTTTCGCACCTCACCTTACTCCCCACCCACTTATTTCCGCCTTTTGAAGTACGCAGCTAACACAAATGCTAGTTTAGCATCAAGGTTATTGTTTTTTAAGGCTTTAATTGCAATTATTCAGATCAGTATAGGCCATATACTTTGGGATTACCGGGTAAGCAATAGTGAGGCTAGATGGAGAGTACTAGGTAAAGGTGACAGATTGATTAGTGTGGTAGTGAGTGTTTATTGACTTGGATGGTTGGAACAAGTGTTACATATGTCTACCTTGGAGTGTGATGAAGGCTGGTATAGGACTAGGTTAGTAGAAAGATAGGGGAGGTCCGACTATGACATGGCATCAACCTTTGAACTCATTGACTGACCTGAGTAGTAGGCTCAGACTATTTGGTTGGGGTTAGAGTCATCTTAGTCAACGGTTGCAGATGTTAAGTCACATGGTTCAGAACCGTTCACAGTGACATAGGTGCATTCATTCTTTGTCTTCCCCTAGATACCCAGTTTCTAAATAATCTCAAAATATCTTCCACTAATCCATATTTGCCTTTCAAACCATAACTTCTATGCTTAATCTTCTCTATTACCAACAACGCTGTTACCGCCTGTAGTACTTTGAGATTTCCCTTGATAATTTCATGTCGCTATATGTGACTACTTAAACCGATGCGGTCATGTTCCAGTTTCTACGTTGTGTATAACTGACAGACTAATTGGATATCGCACATATTTTCTTTGCTTAAATAGAATTGTACAGTTGTTATTAATAGGGGTTTGTAAAATGTTCGCATTTAATCGAAGTAAAATTTGACAGCAGCTGGTGATAATACCGATAGATTCATATTAGATATGTAAGTTCGGAGCATATTTTTTCAGAAAAGACAAAAATAACCTCATAATTTGAATCACAAACTGGTTAGTGTTGTTCAACTCTCATCTATTCTCTGCCGTGAGTAATTGTCACACCCGACACTGTTGAACTGTACAGGTCACGGCTTCTCATTAGAACTCCAAGAATTACCTCTCGAAGCTAGTTACTAGTGAGCACAAGATAATTATCAGTATAGGTTTGTGCAGATTGTTGAGTTTCAATTGAGATCATGGTCAGTTCATGATGTGTCAATTAAAACTTAGTTTAACATTGATTGATTTTACTTCTAATTCTGTTAAAAACCTCAGCTTATTATATTTGAAATACATTTTTTATGCACCTTAATTTATTCCACTTAGTAAGCCAAAAGAAGGGAGATTAAGAAAAGCTATGCCTATAGCCTTGTAGTATCAGTTTATATGTTAAGCCCATATACTTTATTCTAGTTGCTGGCCAAGCCAATTCGCCTATCCTTTATGAGTCATATTTTGATCTTGTTAATCATTTGCTTATTAACCTTGACTATACTTTCATATGAGCATATATGTGTACACGTCGTATCTTATTCATCGTATGTCTGTCACTCATTTTGTCCGACTATAAATGTTGATTAACGCTTGCTTTAATCGAGTTGGCTTCCCAGCCATCTCCAATACGCATCATCTTTGGCCCCACTCTCTCGCTTTCCGCTCACTCGCTCGTTCATATTCGCTCAGGTGTTGTTAGCTTTCGAACCTGAGTTATTCGACAATAAACTGTAGTTGCTGCTATCCTTTGTCTTCTGATTTTAGGCACCGTTAAGTTTAGAATTATAACGGTTATCGAAGTAAACGATTAACGAATTGCGGCACTACAGCCTTATCATTAAAAGTCGTGAAAATCCGATTTTAGGTTTTATCACAGACACGTCATTGTAGTAATGATATATGTTCGTCACAAGACTAAGTATTGTTTTTTGAAAGAGATTTCATGGATTCCAATAAAGTGTTAGTAGATAATTATAAAAAGTATCGGATGGTGCTATCAACGTGGTATGGTCGCCGACACTTCCACACTACAACAGTCAGTTGTCATACTTTGCCCCCGAATTCCCTGGTATGGTCGAGAGTGATGAGAGTCCGCTCTCCCTCTCCAAATGCTCTCACATGGTCACGCGCATATAGCCACTGCCGGGGAAGTCCTACCCACTGCCTTCTCGTGGCACTACTGTAGTTTACGAATTTGAGAGGACGAAAAGCGAATGCCAGGTGCTTTAATCGGGTTGGTGGACACGGCGCATCCACCTAGGGGAGTTAGAAAACCCTCATTCCAAACCAATGGTGCACATGGGATCCAGTATCCTGAGTGAACAAATGGCGTATGGATCGATCGTTGGTCACCGGCTACCATGGGACCGCATCTCCTCACGATGCTCCACTGCCTTGTGGATCAGATCTTTAGGTCAAAGGCTCTGGGTGTGGCCCCCTAAGAAACCACCTTCTTGAGTTTGGGCACCCGGGCAGTATCACAGTCCTCACACAAATGAAATGAGATTTATGTGGCACATATATATCTGGTACCCCTTTGTAACAATATTTATGTGTTCAAATAAATAAAAAGTATATGTTTTTATAACGTTACATACTCATTTTGAGTTATTATGTGTGTTTTAGACTGTATATAGAATCATAGGCAGTAGTAGCATGTCGATTCAGTAAATCTCACCTTTAACAAGTGTAACTATAAAAAAAATCAATGATTCAAATAAGATATGAAAGTAAATCACAACCTATATATGTCTACCGTCCTAACGAATTCAACCAGACACTATCGCGCAGATTAAGAATGAAAGAGGCGGTATATTTAGCTTGTGACTTCCTGAATTTACCGCACTATTTATCTAATATTGTTGAGGTAATCCAGAAAACTTCTCGCAAAAGAGAAGAAAAGCTCAGAAAACACTAAGATGCATTTTATCCAATCAGCGTTCACTAAAAGCTGTGCCAGAAACATCACAAAAGTGAAAAGTCACATGTCGAGTTTCTGATTGGTTGATTACTATATTGCTACTATGTTTAGTAACATTTCAGAATTTTCGGATAAACCAAAGGACTTCTAAAATACTATAAAAATCGTGTATTTTCTGTACGTAAATGGACCTCGCATATTTTGCTGCCTTTCGTTTCTTGTTCAAGTTGTTGTGTAGTTTTAGCTTGGGGGTTACGAGACTAGCTTAGAAACCGAGTATAGCGTTTAATTAGCAAGATTTATCAAATATGATCAGTGGTCGAATCGAAATTTCAAATAATTTTGTTTGAGCCTTTGTTTCCACTGCTATCATTCTCCATTCACTAGTCCTATCAGTGCCAAGTAACTCTTGAGTATTCAAGATCTCACATTTATTAGGTTGTTAGCTAAGTGTCGTAGGTTCTTGTTTTATGGGAATTAGTATGGTTAACGAATTCTGAGAACATCTTTTATTACTGTGTAGTAATTTCATCAAACTGTAGTAGTTTATCAGAATTCATCGAGCTGTTATAATGACTTAACTAACTAATTTGATATTCATATTCGAACTATTTATAGATGTAGAACTCAATTTGATTTACAAATAATTTTATTTTCATAGTTGAAATCATAAGTCCATTGAAGCTAGACCACCATGAAAAACCTGAAAGCACTGGACGGCCGTTTCGTCCTATTATGGGACTCCTCAGCAGTGCGCATCCACGATCCCGCCTAGCGAGATTCCAACCCGGGACTTACCAGTCTCGCTCCAGAGCGCTTAACCGATAGACCACTGAACCGGCCGATATCCAACGGTGTTATTGTCTAACTTCAACCAATCCACAAAGTTTTAGCAACCGTTCACCCATTGTCTTCAGTGAGTTGATATCTCTACAACAGACTTGGTTTGAACTCCACTGATCACTGCTTCAGTCAGTGCTTCCAGGTTCTCCATGGTGGTCTAGCTTCAATTGACTCATGATTTCAACTATGAAAATACTGGAATATCGACAAAAACCCATTCTGATAAATAATTTTATATTTATACTTACTAATTATAAGTTATTATTCCTTCTAGCGTATTCTCCAATTCCTACGATCCCATAGAACATATGATGATGATGATGAAAATGTAGACAAGAAGAATCATTCAACCAAATCAAACGTTACTTCTCACACTGATGATGAAAGCTACCAGCAAAATACATCGTTAAACAATAACCCATCATTTGATAATTCTGATAATGATTCACAGTTATTTGTTCCATTAGTATTGACAAGTACTGGTTTTGTTGTAATGGCTTTTGCTCTTTGGTATTACTTACGTCGTTAAAATAACTTTTGTATGGATTTATGCATTCAAAAACAGGTTATTTTAATTTTGTACTTATCCTATAACTTGTTAGCTCCCTAATGTTTTTTTTATTCTCAAAAAAAGACTAATCTCCACCCCTTTTTAACTGAACTGGGTTTTTTTAGTTACCAATCATTGCCTATGTATTATTGTAGAAACCAAGTATTCGTTTCCTATTTTTTATTTTAGTCAAACAAGAAGTTATTACTACTACTACTACTACTACTACTACATTTCTCTTCATATTGTTCATTTATTCATCATTCATAAAATATTTAGTCTATCGATTGTTCTTTATCTTTTTATTGAGTGATTTTAGAAAGTTCAAATGATGAGTATTGTGTGCTTTTCTGTGTGGCCTTGTAGTGTAGCGGTGAGCACTTCGGATTCTGTATCCAGCAACCCGAGTTCGAGTCTCGGCGAGGCCTCATGATGTGAGCACTTGAAATCATCATTAACCATGTGCATCACTTCGCAACAACAGCTCGATCACGTCGTCCCAATCACGTTTCACGAGTCCATTCAACACAACCACTCCTCAGTTTGGTCAGTCAACGACATGCTGTGGTTCACAAACTACATCATCTGTATGCTTTTACAAATAGTTATCTATTTATTTAAACACATAAACATTGGTAGAAGGAGGCACTTAATAGATATGCGCCATATAAATCATTCGACTTTTGTGGATGACTGGGATGCTACTCGTGTGTCCAAACCGAAGCAAGTTGTTTTCTTAGGGGACTACTCCTCGAGTCTTTGGCCTGAAGGTCTAATCCATAAGGCAGTAGAGCAACGTCAGAAGATGTTGTCCTATGGTAGCCAGTGACCAACGATTGGTTCATACGCCACTTGTTCCCTCAACATCCTGGTTAGGAATCAGGGTTTTCCAACTCCTCTGTGTGGACCATCCATATCCGCTAACCCGGTTAAAGCTTCAGACATTCGCTTTTGGTTTTCTCAATTTCGTAAACAACACCCCTGTCGCGAGAGGGCAGTGAGTAGGACTTCCCTAGAAGTGGCTGTATACACGTGGCCATGTGACAGCATTTCTAGAGGGATAGCTAACTCTCGGCCGTACCAGGGTATTCGGGGGCACTAGTTATCATTTATATTAAAATAGGTTGGTCAGTTTCTGATACAACACAACATGCGCCAATCAAACCACACACAAGCCCTTGCTTCGAACCCCTAAGGTAAAAGGAGAAGAGGAAGACCAAGGAAAGTATTACACCAACAAATAGAGACAGATATAAGAAGAATGAACAAAAATTGGATAGAACTAGAAAGGAAGGCCCAGGACAAAGTGGGTTGAAGAATGCTAGTCGGCGACCTATGCTCTATTAGGGGATGGTTGCTCTCTTCCAACTAACCCCTACTTCTATGTATTCGGTGTTGATCTTGTTGTGCTAATGAGGTGTGGCAACATGGACCGATGCATATGCGTGCCTTGTCCTACGTTGTAGCTGACTGACTGACTAAATAGTTCTACTGTTCGGCTTTAGAAACAAATTAAAGAATTCATATTGTTGCACATGAAAACTGTTAGCATTTCTAATCGACATTTCCTTACTTTCTTGTTTTAATGTTATATATTAACGTCTTCTTTATCAGAACTTTCTCAGCATAATTAATCAATTGATATAAAAGTTCTCATTGATTGTTCGTTTTAAGCAGTGGACAGAAGTAAACAATGCTAGTCATTTAGTATTGTTTGTTTGAATCTTCCCATTGATGTGTTAGGACTGCAACTAGTCAGTCTCTAATTAGCATATGTGCGTATTACCTCGATATAGCCTAAATTCACAAGGACGAAACGCGTGTCCTGGATTCCACTACTGACCACTATCCATCTTTGCTCACAATGCTAGTCATGTTTTGTAGATATGCTTATCTATCCATGTCCGGAAACGGGTCTTAATTAGTAAATGATCAATACTACATATTTACCAAAAATTAGTATCATAACTGTAAAATCAGTATAAAAATATTTTATAGGAATCATGTCACATGTACAAGTTGATATTATATAAGTATTTTAAAGTACATTTATTAGTTGTTAAGCATGTATTCAAATAGATACTACTGATTGATTTTTAACATTGGTTTTTTACACTTCGATTTTGTCAACAGTAAAACTGGATAAAACAAGTTCCGATCCACCCGGTAAATGTATCATTGGGAACTTACAGCTGAAAGTATTACGCTATTCACTAAAGTTGAAACTTGTATCTTCATACTAGCAGGTGATCTTTAAATATGCTCAGAAAAAAAGCAGTGAGCAAGGTTAACGAAAAAATAAATCAATGGTTATTTGTTATTGAATATAATGAGGGTTAAAAAGCTACGTTACCTTGATAGGAAATATCTTGACATCGCGAGGTCATTCTCAGAAGTAACAAATCTTGAAGATCTAGTTAATTTTATGAAACGTTGGGTCCATAAAGATCTCGTTGATGGTCAGGTGACTCAAGTAGACTAGTACATTTAATTTATGTGAGTGGTTATTTTATAATTTTCAGTTTTTGACGGTAAATAAATGGCACAAAATATTGTAGATGTTTAGATAAGATGGTGGTTGGAGGTGGTCAACAGGAAATCGTGGAACCGGGTTTCGTGCTACTTGGCATTCGTCAGCAAGGTGTCCCAGTAATCTTGAGGGGACTGGTGCTCGCTGACGGATTCGATTCCTTGTCACTCAGCTTCACAGTCGGAGACGTTACCACTGAGCTATTCGGGCCGCGGCCGACCTGTAGGACTGAGATGTAATCACGATTGATTGATTACTGGGTGGTGATCAATGTCATACGTGTCAAGTCCTTCTTAGTGCTGATCGATCAACATAGTGCGCGCAGTGTCGAGCCACCTAGATTAGTGGCCACATTGTAACTTGATCGATAACATTCAATTAGCACTAAGAAGGACTTGACACGCATGACATTGATCACGACCCAGTGATCAATCAATCGTGATTGTAAATGTTTGTTTTGTAATAAGTATATCACAAGAGGATGTCACGAAAGTTGCAACAATTACAATAACGAATTACATAAAAGTCGCAGGCTCAAAATTTCTAAGATTCTCTCGACTCCATCGGGTATCTTTTAGTGGCCCTATATCCGACTCCCGTTAGATCGGACAAATAGTTGTTATCGTATGATTGCTATCAAAATATATATATTTATCTACTTGCATTAGCGAATAACGGAATTAAGTCAAATACGAGAGCGAAGTTAGAATGTGTGTATTTCATACCACCGTTGATTGGAAAGTGGAGCAAAACAAAATGACATACAATGGAGAAGGCGAGTAAGCCAACTCGATATAATCAGGCATTCATTGATATTCATAGTAAGACAAAAATAAGTTACAGATATGTAATGAGTCAATAAAGGAATGCACACATCATACGCTTACAGACAATGTTAATAAACCAATAAGTGACATGGTCATAATGTAGTTTAAGAAAACTGAATAGATTGTTCTGTCCAGAAACTAGTGCAACCTATATGGGATCGACATAAAGTCAGCTAATACAAAGCCCCCCCCCCCTACAATAGAAAATGGTACATTCATTTGAAAAAATGTTTATTTTCAAAAATGACACAGAAGAGGTATATGGTTAACGTTAAGAAGTTGCGATACATTTTTTTCATATATCTGTTAGAGTACAGTGTCATGTGAGGAGTGGGTGTATTATAGGAAAGTGCTATACGTCTTTAAATAAATACATAATTACAGTAAAGGCACGGACAAAAATAAAAAAATATTAGCATGCGATTATTAGAAAGTTAATATGTGCCGTATATCATCGATCAAGCAAAAAAAATGGATGAAGCTTGATTTAGACTATAAGCGAAGATGGCTAGCAGTGGAATCCAGGACGCGCGTTTCGTCCACTGCTAGCCACTATTCATCTTTGCTTACAATCCTTGTGAATTAAGGTTATATCAAGGCAATAGGCACAGTATGCACATACGCTAATTAGAGACTGACTAGTTGCAGTCGTAAACATCAATGGTGTTATATCCCCTGGTGAATCATGAATGGTAAATCTGAGGTCTATTATGGACAAAGGTAATATGCCTAATTCCTATTGTTTAGTTGTTAAATAACTGACCTAATTGTATTCGTGTTCCTCTTACCGTAACCTTATTTTGACCTTTGAACTATTATTATTGATTACTTTCCCCCTATCCATAGCCACATTGGCCAATTACTGTACAAATGTTATTTTTCTATTTTTTGGTATAATTGGGTCTGTTTGGTTAGTATATATAAGCCAGTGTGCTTGTGAATAATGATTCATATTTCCGAGGCTGTTATTTGTGTTCTGGACTCAACTGGCTGGGCTAGGCAGTTAGGAAGGACCGAATAGCAATCAAGACTGCTCGTACGTATTTTCTGTATCATTGCACGTTTCATATACAATAACGATTGTTATACGTTTATAACAATTGGGCGCTATTAATTTTTTTCCAAGGGGAGGTGTTAGGATATTCACAAGAATATCCCAAAAATTATCTCGAATGTAAAATGGTATGTTTCCAGACTCTTCACATAATTCGCATGTTATTTCCTATTGGCCATTTCTTACAGTGTCCTAACTATGACTTTCATGTGTCGTTTCCCTATTGGTCAATTTTGAGTCGTCCTAATTATAACCTTTACGTGTCCTTCTTTTCCATTGGTTACTGTTAATAGTCATCGTAACTGTATAAATATGCCTTATCTGTAAACCATTGTTGTTCTGCTGCTGACCCCATAAACAATTCTCATTTAACGGCTGTGTTCTGATTTATTGGAGTTGGGAAACAGTACTGAAGGGTCGAACTAGGATATCTGAATTTGGTCAATCGGTAGAATTTCGCGTAGTCCTATCGCAATACGCTATATTTCGCATTATAACAAATGGGAAGATTCAAACAAACAATACTAAGTGAACTTCGTTTAGATTGTTGTTGGAAAAGTAGGAAATGACGATTGCTGCATATGAATGCGATGAATAAACATTAGTTGAATATCGAGAACATAAGTTCCTACTACTGGGAGTATGACTCCAAACTTATTTATATGATAGGTTTTTTCACCGTTGCCAAAGTTGGGTAGTTGTGACCAAACCATTGTCAGAGCGAAAGAGGACCGCTTAGACTGAGTATTCTTGTGCATGCGCTGGTCGCTTGACCGCCGATTTACTGTACAGGTTGTTGGGAGTAGGAGCAGCTAGAAAATATGTCGCAAATATATGACACGTGTGGAGTTTATATGAACCAATGATCTCTTTGTTTCGATGACTGTTTTGATTTTGAATTCCAAATACAGTACATTCGTTCATGCTCATCTAACTCTTCTTGATTAAATTGCGTTATTGCTAGGAATACTAGTTTATACTATAATTCAAAAAACTCTTAAACATCTCATTGACGTCGTGATGGAGCCTGTGATCGAACGGTTGGATATACATTAAGATTTTAACGCTTTTGAGGATTACATAGAAAAGTTCGGAATCTGAGCTATGACCAAGGAAGATGTTGAGGATTTCAATATTGTGGCCCATTTCCTTACATTCATCGTAAAATAAGCATACAGCCTAATAAAGACTTCAGCACTTCCAGACAAACCGATTTCACTCCC